AGTGTTAATCTAGAGTTCTTGTGAACTTTAGATTGTGTGCGGAATTTGGTGGGTAGAGTGAGCAGTAATCAATATGGATGGGTTAGTTTTCACAGTTAATATAATTGCAAGTAAGAGTGAAGATAAAAGAGAGAGACACGCAAACTTTAACGAGGTTTGAAGGTGGGGTAATCCTTCTACGTCCTCAAAATCCACTATGTAGTTGGTTGTTGAATAATGAACCAACAATTACACTTGTGTGAATTTCTGCACGGTATATCTTCGCAAGGCCAATGTTGCTACTGCACTCGTGCTGGCTTTGTTGTTCCTTCGAAGGTCACGCTTCTTCAACAACTGCAACGTCCGAACAATAGGACTTTACTCTGTTTGTCTTCTAGTGCTTGTTTAGGAATTCTGGGCAGGCTCTTTAATTTTAGAGGTCCAGACTTTGTCTTCGAGTAATTTGTTCTTGAATCAGCATAATTATCTTCAATCTAGCCGTTGAAAATCAAGAGATTGATTTTTCCTTACCAACGGGTAGAATTTCTTCATTCAAGACTTAGATAATTTTTCTAAGTCTTTTCTCACTTGTCCGCTTTCTGAAAATTCCGGTCTTCAATGAGTCTTCCGATTCTTAGCTGACAAATCCGGAGAAGTCATTCTTAGACTTCCGGGTGAGAAAAAGATCCGCGCTAGTCTTCTGATTTGGATGACTTAGCCTTCAGCGGGTTGTAGCGAGACATCCGGTTCTTATGTAATCTTCCGGATCAGAGGATTTTCATTTGCTTGAGAAATCCTTACTTGTCTCTGACATTTCCGATCAAGATATCCAATTTCCATATCACCGAAAATGATTAAGTCTTCAGGCATCAAAACGCTTAAAGAAATGTCACAACTTTATTGGAAATCTCAAGAACTCGGTTTTAACAATATTTCTAAACAGAAAAATTACATTGAATATTGGGGGAGACCTAAAGTGCCTATTACATTCTAAATACATCATCATCAAAATCTATAATATTTTTCCCAACAGTTTCCACTGAGTGAATTTGGAAAATTCTTCATACTTGGCCTCAACGTAATGATCGGGTACATACTCTGCTCTAAAGAGTGGATCAAAGGTAGCCCATGGTACTGGCACGGGAATGTTTGTGCCCACTCGTTTCCACCAATCATAAGCGGCATCCTGCTTTAGGGATATGGCGTGCTGTCCCCAATCTTTGAGAGGTACCTTCAAATTTTCCAGTACCCTCACTGTGTGTTCCTACCAACGTTTGGCTATCAAGGGATTTGCTATCTGGTCACCGCTCAATTCCTGTGCCCCATTTCTCTTGAGTTTCTTAATCGAGATGATGGGTACAAGAGGTGGTGGTGGAGGTACATGTGCTCCAGCCATCTGCTGGAAGAACTCAAACATGTTCGCAACCATTTGTGGTTGGAACATTGGAATGGCCATATTCGGGTTCTGACCCGCAAACTACTCCAGAACTTGCTGATGTTCTAGCTGAGGCTGTTGTTGATAGGGTGCGTAGCTATATGCTTTGGTGTGCACAGTATGCACACTAACATGATAAGGCTCCACGTGAGGGTTTGCCTAACCGTGAGTCGAATCCTGACTCATTCTATAATTAATTGAAATTATCATTAGTCATAAATAAACTAATTATTTACCTTCCCGGACAGAGATGTGGAGAGATTAGGGGTGAGCATCGGGTCGGTTCGGTCGGTTTTGGGCCAAAAACAAACTAATCGAATTTTTTTGGTATAAAAAAAGCGAACGAAACCGAACTGGTGTTTTTGAATAACCGAGAAACCGAAACCGACTAAACCGAACCAATTTCGGTTTATCAAGGATAAAGGATAACACCTCAAAGTTATCAATTGCACAACCGAAACCGACTAAACCGAATTGCACAACACCTCAAAGTTATCAAGGATAACATTAACCTCTTCAGGAAATCAATTGCTAGCAAACAGTTTTTGGATGCTCTCAACAAAGGACAGATACTCAATTACTCTGAGGAAGTCATTAGGGTTACACGAGAGGCAATCAAAAGTTTTGAGTATATTGATGCAGCAACTATGGAAGGTGCAAGGTATCCGGCGTACTTTGCTTATGCGAAAGAAGATATGAACGTTGTTCTAGCTCATTTATGCGGAGAACAGGATTGAATAAGACTACATTCTGGGCATGGGTCATTTTAAGTTTCTTGGTCCTTCTTTTATGCTCTTTTGGTCCTCTAAAGGGAATTGACCTAGGGGTTTTGATGAACTGGGCAGCAGTTTTTTTTGTTTTTTTGTTTGATTTTTTAGCTTTGTTGCAGTTGTTGGGTTTTGAGCTTCATCAGCAAAGGTTTGAATTAGGGAATTGACCTGATGGGTTTTGAGCCTCATCAGCAGCTTAAAGACTGGACATTCAGGTTGATGAAGGATAGACATCTATCTCTTAATGGATAGAAGGAAACTAGTCTAGGAAATTAGAGGTCGACATACCTCCTGGGTATTAGGCTCTAGGCACAAAATCTGTACTTTTCTCGTGATGGGAATCTCTACAAGGGCGCTACCTGCTCCTTGCTAGATTGCTCACAAGGACATGCTTGGAGCTAAGCAAAATTTTAAAGAGACGGAAGACATTGTGGGTCTCCAAACTTCATGATCTGATGGGTAATTGATGCAGACTCCTAGCCCTTTCTTTGTCCTCTTTTGTTTTGCTTTGTCTTGGTTGGTTTTTTTTGTTTTGGTATGTTCTATCTACTATGGGATAGCTTGTAGGGACCCGTCCCATCCCTCCCCTTGTACTATTTCCTTCTCTTTTTCAATAAAAGTTTCCTACTTATATATATATATATATATATATATATATATATATATATATATATATATATATATATATATATATATATATATATATATATAAGAAATGGCTAATCAAGGATGTCGAATTCAATGGGTGGGGGTTTGATTTGTTTTGGAGAAATGGTATGAGGATTTTTAATGTATTTTAGCCATTCGGCATACTTGTTCTTGTGCCAGTACTCTTCCGGCTTGTTGTAATTTCCATTAATGTAATTTCCCCTCTTTCTCTATCAATAAAATTTCCCTTTAATATATATATATATATATATATATATATATATATATATATATATATATATATATATATATATATATATATATATATATATATATATATATATATATATATATATATATATATATATATATATATATATATATATATATATATATATATATATATATATATATATATATATATATATATATATATAT